ATTATTTTTAATAATAAGATAAGTTTCTTTAATAGATATCAGACATTTCAGATTTTTTAAATATCTTTGGTAGTTCTAGAAGGTTGCCTTTTCAAGAAATTTGCCTGTTTCATCCACATAGCCTAATTTATTGCTTTAAAGTCATTCACGATATCTTCTTATGCTCTTTCTGATGTCTGAAGATCTATAGTAATGTCCCATTGTATTGCTTGATATTTTCTTCCTTTATAACTTTTTAAAATTTTTTCCAGAGTTCATGTGCACTCACCAAACAGAGAGAAGGAAAAGAAGAAAGTACCCTCCATATGGGATGATCATGAAACAATCCCTTCTCCTCCATTTCTCCTTCCTTTCGAGGTCTGGGTACACACACAAACACACAACCACCATGTTTTTCAAGTCACCAGGTCTGGGACTCAAATCATACAGTTGTCCCTGTGAAAGCCAGCTGCCTTAAGCACCACTCTCCTAGCTGGCTGGCCTCTTTTTATTCTTTTTTTTTTTTAAGGTTTTTTTTTTACCATAATTCATGTGCATTTGTTCTCCTTCCTTTCGAGGTCTGGGTACACACACAAACACACAACCACCATGTTTTTCAAGTCACCAGGTCTGGGACTCAAATCATACAGTTGTCCCTGTGAAAGCCAGCTGCCTTAAGCACCACTCTCCTAGCTGGCTGGCCTCTTTTTATTCTTTTTTTTTTTTAAGGTTTTTTTTTTACCATAATTCATGTGCATTTGCTGGAGAGAGTTATGTTTATTCTTTTTTTTTTTTTAAGTTTTTTTTTTTTTTACCATAATTCATGTGCATTTGCTGGAGAGAGACAGAGGGAGGAAAAGTGAGAAATCATCCCCCAGGGTTGACAGCCATGCCTCAGTCCTTTCCCTATTCTCGTCCTGGACTTTTGGTCATGCACACACTTGTGGCTGGTGTGAATTTCAAGCTACTAGGTCCAGAACTGAAATTATGGTCAGCCATGTGGGAGTTCAGTGCCATCTGATGGCTTAAGAATTCTTTCATTTTTTTTTTTTTAGAGGTTTTTGCCATAGGGTGTGTGTGCTTGCCAGAGAATCAGAGACAGCGAGAGGGAAAGTGAGAAATCACTCCTCAGGTTAGATGACCATGTCGCAATTCCTTCTCCTCCATTCTCCTCTCAGGATCTTGGGCACACACACATGCATACCCAGCATGATTTTCAAGCTACAGAGTCCAGGACTTAAACCAGAATCAGCCATGTGGGAGTCCAGTAATGTAACCACTATGCCATCTGCTGGTCCCTTTATTATTTTTAACTTTTAAGAGAGATTTTTGCTACTGGGTGCTTGTGCTCACCAGAGACACAGAGAGACAGAATGTGAGAAATCACCCTCTGGGAGAATTGGCCACACCACAGTCCGTTCTCTTTTATTTTCTTCTTGGTTATCTTGTGCATGCACACACATGCACCTGGCATGAGTTTTAAGATACCAGTGACTACATGGGAGTCCAGTGACATAACCATTAAATCATCTGCTGGTTCCTAGTCCCTTTATTATTATTATTTTAACTTGATATAGTCATCAGAGAGAGAAAGGGAAAGTGAGAAAGCGAGCTGCCAGATCCAGAACTCAAACTGCAGTCAGCCATGTTGAAGTGCAGGTCCCCAACCACTATGTCACCTTGTCACCTGTTGGCCCAATTTTTTTATTCTTTACAAAGAACCAACTTGGAATTTGTTGATTTCCCTATTGTACAATTGCTTTTGTTTTACTTTGTTTCAATTCTCATTTTCTGTCTTTCTTTTTATTTATCATAGGTTAGGTGTCCTCATGAGTTTTGTTTTTTCCTTCTTTCTTTATTTTTTTAAATTCATAATAGAGAAAGACATGCTCTTGACAGGATCTTGTCATATCATGACCCCTTTACCCCAGTCTTCCAACTTTTCTTGGATCTTGAGGACATGCACATGTGCACAGTATGATTTCAGGCTAATCCAGGGATTTGAACCCATGGTTGGCCACGTAACTTTCAGCATGGCAGTTCAGTGTGCTACTGACTATACCAACAAGCTGGTCCTTTCTGGCTTGTTAAGCTGAAAGGTTGGAGTGTTGATATTTTTCAGCTTGTCTTCTTTTATATTATCTGGCTTTAAGATCACAAATGTCCCTCTAATCATTACATGAATTACAATAGTAAATATTTATCATTTTTATTTTACTATTTGAGGTTCTATATATGTTTTAAAATTATTGAACTAATTTTCAGGCAATTGAGGTATTTCTGTTCCTTCTGTTTATTGTTTACCTGGTGTATCTTTTTCCATAATTCTACTTTGAGCCTTTTAGAGATTTGTATAAGCAATATACTATAGTGTATATTTTAAAATAAAATCTGGGGACTGGCAGTTGGCGTGGCTGTTAATGACGCTGGACTCCCTTATGGCCTACTGCAGTCTGAGTCCTGGACCTGGCGCCTTACTTCCTCGCTTTCTTTCTCTCTCTCTACCTCACTCTGTCCCTTTCTAGTTAAACTAAAATAAATAAAGTTAAATAAAATAATTGTTAAAAAAAATACACTCTGAAAATCTTATTATTTCACTTGGCATATTTAGTCCCTTTGTGTTTAACACAACTACTTATGTATTGGGTCATCAGAAAAGCTATGATGTATTTTTTGCATAGAAAAACATAGAAAAGTACATTATGAGTTTTCTGATGACCCAGTAGTTGACTTTTCTGCCTTTCTATGTGTTTTTTATTTGGACTGCTTATTGTATATTCTTTTCCCTCTAATAATTTCTCATTCAGGTTTTCCTTCTACTAAAATTATTTGTGTTGTTATGCTATTAGTCTTTTTAGTTGTTACTCTGGAAATTATAAAATATATCCTTGGGACCAGCAGATGGTGTAATGGTTATGTTTCTATACTTCCATGTATTTGACTGTGGTTTGAGCCCTGGACCTGGCAGCTTAAACTCACACCGGGTGAGTGTGTGTGTATGCCCACTCATGAATTTCATTAATAAAGGCAGCAAGACGTTAAGAATTTTTACCTTTTAAGTCTTTTGGTGTACTACCCCAATGATTCATGTAGATCTTTTATCCAGTAAATGGTAAAGATTTGTTGCATGTTAATAGTCTTTCAAGTTTCCGACCACATTCCAGTCCCATTAAATTAATAAAAACTTGATTGGGCTTTTAAATATCACTGGGGAGATCTGCATGTGCTAAATTTGATTTCTGACCTATATTCAAAATTTATAGATACTCTGGGACAAAAACTATGGAGATTCCTATTATACCTTGGAAAAGTTGTTGTCACTATACAATGTTAGCACAGCTAGTCTTCATTGCTTCCACAGCTCTCTGCTACAGAGGGAGTGATTCACCTACGTTATCATATCTGGAAATGGGCCAATTTCCAATAATGATGGGAAAAAAAGAGACAGCATGTCTCCATTCAAAAATTCAATTACTTGTATTTATTTTTATGACTACCTTCTCGTCAAGGATTGATATAGTGACTTTTCATCTATTATTTAAATAATAGTTAAACAAAACAATGGAATAATATTTCAGAAATGCATATATGCAGATGACAAGTCAATACCTAAAATTGCATTCACTAGTCTAAAGGACATTCTGTGAGGGTAGAGATACCTAATTTGACATTGTGGTGTTAGACAACATAAATGAACTCTTTTCTTGTTCCACAGCATCTTTTCCCTTTCTATCTAAAATAAGTCAGCCTATCCCACCTGATTCCAGCGAAGTACAATTGTAATAATATTTAACGGTTTTTTAAGAATTATTTTATTTCACTTTATTTATTTATTTATTTATTTATTTATTTATTTATTATTATTTTTAATTTAACCAGAGAAGGATAGAGTGAGAAAGAGAGACAGATACAGAGAGAAAGTGAGAAAGCAAGCTGCCAGGTCTGAAACTTGAACCATATTGGCCAAGTGGGAGTCCAATGCCCTTAACCATCATGCCACCTGCTGGCCCCATAATATTTAATGTCGATTTAAAGATAGGGAATCATGACCAAAGATAATGTTGCAAATGAAATTGAAAAACTTTACTCCTTTTGATCTCAGTGAGTCAAGAAATAGTTTCTTAGATGACTATTTTAGTATTTTCTCAGTGAAGACATAGTTCACAATGTAGACCTTCTGTCTGAAAGGTTAAAAAGATCCTAAGGGACCTGTGGTCTCAGTGGGAACAGTTGTTTTATTTCAATGTATGATTACCTACATCTTTTCTTCAGTCATTTAATGCAATAATTTGATACAATCAAATGAAAAACATAAGTGAGACTTTGATTCTATTTTTACTCAAGGCATATTCTAACCTTCAGTTAGATGTACAGAGAGACTTTTGAATTACAGATTAAATATCACACTGATTAGAAAAAAAGTTAATCTACAAAACAGCTATCCTATATTAATAAAATAACTGCCAATGAAAATTTTCTGGTAGACTATATATCATGGTATCAATTATTCAGGTTTATCAGAACCACACATTACCTTTGATTGATAAAATTTGCATTTAGCATCTTGGTACCTTGCTGGAAGATATCTTCTTCCAAAGAGATGTGCCAGCACTAACACCAGCTTTTCCATAACATCTTGAGAAAAGTGTTTGGAGCCTGTAAAAAGCAAAGTGTTTTATTGTACATATGAAAAGCTATAATTCCATTTTTTATATTTAAATTGAATGTTATTTTTTAAAAGAATTTGCTTATTTAACTTTATTCATTAATTTATTTTAATTTGACTGGAGAGGGACAAAGAGAGAGAAAGATAGCTTCTATGTCCGGGACTAGAACCACGGTGGGCCATGTGGGAGTTCAGTGCCCTCAATGACCACATCATCTGCCACCCCCTGGATGTTATATTACATCTCACAGAAACTCACTATTTGTGCCATATATGGCAATGGAGGAATGACTGTATTTTCAGCTGCACCTTTTTTATTACTCTTGCTATCCCTACACTAGTTCAGATCCCAGTCATCTCAATCACAAATGGCCTTATCCCCTTAACTAGATTTTTCCCTCTTTCTTCTAGCCTAACAAATAACCAGGGTCCTAAAGAATTTTATGGTTATGTATCTCACCTCTTCAAAATTTCTGATGATATTTTAATACCTAATTTTAAAAAAATTCAACTTCTTTAGCTTAGCATTTAAGGCTTTTTAAAATTCAGTCTAAAAATAACCTCCTCCCTTATCTTCCTGCTTGATCTTTCTGCTACTCACACTAAACTACTATCGTTCTGAGTCACTCTTTTCTTCAAGTCCCACGGGCACTGCCCTGTTGTGGTTTAAAAGTGTACTGTGAAACAGTATGATGTGTTAGGCCAGCAACAACCTCATGCATCTCATGTTTACCACAGCTCTTGATTGCATCATTTTCTCTTGTGCTTGATACAATCTCACATTTGTTCATTGTGGCCCTTCCACTGGGACGAGATATGGAGGGTGGAAGATAGCGATATTGATGATCCCAAATGGTGTAAGCCTAGATAAATGTGTGTCTTGAGTTTTACCATGAACTTCTAAAAGTAAAAAATACATATAGACAGAACAAAGCTTATAGGATAAAGATATGAAGAAATACAATATTTTATAAAGCTGCATAATGTGTCTGTGTTTTATATTAAGTGTTAGTGCAAAAGAGTCAAAAAATTAAGAACAATGAAAAAGTGTATAAAGTAACAAAGCTATAGTAAGAGAGGATTAAGTTATTTTTGAAGAAAAATAATTTTCTAGAAAAGTAGCATATCTAAGTGCACAGTTGATAAAGTCTATGGTAGTATACAGTAATGTGTAGGCCTTCCCATTCACTCACCACTCACTCAGCCAGAGCAACTTCCAGTCTTGTAAGCACCATTCATGGTAAATATCTTACATAGATGTATGTACCATTTCTTTTTATCTTTTATACCATATTTTCACTCTACATTTTCTATGATTAGATATGTTTAGATACACAAATACTTACCACTGTGTTATAACTGCCTATAATACTTAGTACAGTAATATAATGTACAGGTTTGTAATCTAGGAGCAGTAGGCTATCCTGTATAGCCTAAGTGTGTAGTAGGCTATATGATCCAGGTTTGTGTAAGTACACTATACAGTATTTGCACAACAATGATATTACCTGATGATACATTTTTCAGAACACAGCCCTATCATTAAGCAATGCATGACTGTGTTAACAGCAAATATCTGTGGGTAGGGGAATCATTCATTTTTAACATACACTTTCCTGTATTCTTTTCTATGACATGCATATATTATATTTAATTAGAAGAAATATTTTTAAGGTTACATATCATTTCATAAGTTCTGAATCCTGGAGGCAAGGAATCACTGAAGTTAATGCTCTGGAGAAGTTGACATTTTAAAATAGGTACTCCAAAATATGGCCGTCTTCCATATAATCTCTCTACTTGCAGGTATTTAACCTTATGTTGTTTAATTTGGGGATCCGCAAGTTATCTACATATTGAATGTATTTTCTTTGTAGAAAAATATTCTAAGAATGCTAGCTTTCTAGAAATCTGTTGCTATTTTTAGACTATATAAATACATATGAAACCACAGGCTTACCTTCCCTCGTTGGCCGACAGAGATTATGAAAAAGGCCTCTTACAAGAAAATTGACGAAAACAAGATTAGAAGGTTCATGATAATGCAAATGTGATACAAGTCCAGCAAACCCCATGGGATTACCTTCCTGATCTAAATAACCCTAAAGAACAAAAAATAATTTATTAGTTGACTCAACTCACTACATAATTAATAAGTTGCTAAATGCCTGTGAAATATTATTTAATGCCAATATAAGAGAGATTAATGACAATTGCCTGACTTGACTTGAATAATTATATCAATTATAAGTACTATTAATTATTTGATTTTACTTTTTAAAACTATGATTAGTTCAGTGTGGGAAAATCTAAATAGCAGCCATTCTATTTCACAAAAACAAAATGCAACCATACCTCTTTCACCAGGAACTGCAAGGAAAATAAGAAGTAGAGTTTTAACATCTCCAGAGCTCTGGGTTGTTTGAATGACAGCAATGAGTGCTTTAGCACTGACAGTACCTTTAAGAAAGAGTACTTTAGTCACACAATGTTAAGTGTCATGAAATACATTTGTAAATGATAGTATAGAATAGATATTATCCATATCTATTATGTCACACAGACATCAATGATAAATAAGATCCAATTTATTTTTATATTATTGTTGTACTTGGGTCTTACATGGGACATTCTTCCTTTAACAAAATAGAATACGTAAAACAGAACTGTCAGAAATGAAATCTATTTCCATGCAATCTGTTACAAAAACAAAAAAATAAAACCAGTTTAAGAGCTCATAGCTCTTACATTGTTCTAGAAGAAAAAAAAAGATATATTATCCCATGTTTTCCAGTTGCAAAAATAATGGAACTAAGTTAATTAAAACAAAAGTAGTAAAAATATTGCTTGGTATCTAGTGTAAAATAGTATAGAAATACCTCTGTCTTTCAACCTCCCACTAAAATGTCTGTGAACTCCCAATAAAAGAAAAACTTTCCAGTATCACTCAAAGTTGAACCTAGCTGACTTTAGACTTTAGAGTTTATAGAACTTTGAACTCACTCTAATATAAGGCCAATAGACTAACGAAAATAAAGAAGGAAGGGAAGAAGAAGAGGTGCATACTCTCCAAAAAATACTCTTACAATCACTGCTGTCTCATATACAACATTTAGTCTGAAATTTATGTGTTTTACTGTAGGCTTAGCGGGGTAAATTCCATAATTAAAGTTTTATTTAGATGATAGAGATACTAATAGCACTGCATACTTTAGTTTATTATAATTAATGACATCAATACAATCAATGTGTCAGTAAGACTGCTAGAAGTAGAAGAACATGAGTTTTTAGTTTAGAAAAGTTAAGTAAAATGAAGATATGCTAAATACTGATAATTGGGCCCAAAACTTATTCATCTAGCCTCAAATTTTAATAGATATTTGAGCAGTACTGAGGTGGATAAAATGAATTCAGAAGAAATTCTACACATCCTGTTGAATGGCAAACCACCACATTTGAATAAATATATAAATGCAAGAAATAATAAAACCCATGACAGATCAATTCACTATAAGAAAATTGATCATCTTCCCCAAGTTATTACTTATTTTATTTTGCTTATTTTAATTTCCAGAAGGTACAGTGCTCACCAGAGAGAGACAGAGATAGAGAGAGAGGGACCCCTATGGGGCATGGTTACACCACAATCCTTTCTTGTCCACTTCGGGAATGCATGCACATGCTCCCAGTGTGTTTTTCAAGCCACTAGGGCCAGAATATGAGCCACAGTCAGCCACGTCCAGCTCTCTTCACCACTAGGCTATGAAGTCAACTCTTCCTAAGATTATTCAGTCAAATTACAACTATTTATTTAATCTCTACACTGGAAAATGAGACAAACACATCATCGGCCTTAGGATGTTCATTCTAGTGGGAAATATAAACTTGATAGGAAGATGTAAGAATACATAGTAGATAGAAATAGAGTTGATGCTATGTAAAAAGTGCTGAGTACTATATACAACCAAGTAAGGAACACTGTTGAAGCAACGGATAGGGTAAACTTAAAATTTAGAAGGGTGGTGAGTGCAGGTTTCTCTGAGAGTAATATTAGAACAAAGAATTCAATTAAGGAAGAAAGGTCACATATTTATCTGAGGGATGATCTTAGAAGCAAAAGAAATAGCAAGACCCATGGTCCTCAAGACTCAGATTATAATGTGCTTGGCATGTTCCTGGAGCAGGTCATACATGGGCTACATGGGCATCAGGCAAAAGGGAATTCACCAAGTTCAACAGAGATCAGATTCTATAGACCCTCATAGATTATGCCAAGAACATTAGCTTTTACCAAAAAAAAAAAAAAATCTTACCGATACAATTATTTTCTGTGTGCATCAAATAATAGTTTTGAAACATCATTTGGCATCTTCAATGGACGCCCAATGATATAGCCTCTATGTGACAAGGCACAACACTAGATAGTGTATAGACAATACAAGTTGGCATTTAAAAAAATAATACATTCTTATGGTTCAGTCATTATAGCATATGCTGGACTCTGATGCTCCACATGGAAAGCTAGAACCACATGGGAAGCTCAGATTAAAGTCTCAGCCCACCCATAAGGGTCAGGTATGGTGGTGTGTACTATAGTCCCAGCTACTTGGGAGGCTGAGGCAGTAGGATCACAACACAGTGATAGCCTGTCTAAAACACCACATGCACACACACACACACACACACACACACACACTACAAAAATACTTTATTACAACATAAAAATTAATATATGAAGTAGTGAAAATATCAGGAAAACTAAAAATCCAGGAGCAGAATTAAAATTCATGTTGATATTACAAAAGAACAGAATTGACTCTCTGGAGAACTGCTTCAGTGATAGGGAAGATAAATACTGTCCTATTCTCTTATAATGAAGAAAAAGATAGCAATCTGTAATAGAAGAGAGGGCTTAAATTTTATAATTATAGCTTTCCCTGAAAAAGAAACTGAACGATTAACATAGAAGCAAATAACAAAGATATAATTTAAGAACTCTTTTCTTATTTCAGAAAATATCTGGGCATTGCACAACAATGTGAATGTACTTAATACTACTGAACTGTATGCTTAAAATGATTAAAATGTTAAAATTTAGGTGTTCTGCACTTTATCACAATAAAAAATATCTGAGCATGAGATTGAAAGCTCTTATAATTTAATAGCTAAAACATCAATTATATAAAAAAGACTCATAAAATAGAAAATTCTAGGTAAAACAATTTGAACTAGGATAAAGAAAAAATTCATATAATTACACTGTCATAAGAAATTTAAATTAACTGCAACAGAACAGGCTCCTCTATAAACACTAAATGTCAGAATGCTATGAGACAATCTTAGTTTGATGTGATAAATAAAAAGCATATCCTAATGATTTTATGGCTACATTTACATGCAAAGGTTATAGATAGGTCTTCACAAATATGCAAATACAAAGAAAATCAACTACCTTGATAAACTTTCTGAAAAATAACAAATCTTGTTAGAAGATGTACTTCTCATGAGACCAGCAGGTGGCATGGTGTTAAGGGAGCTGGACTCCCACAAGGCCAACCACAGTTTGAGTCCTGGACCTGGCAGCTTGCCTTCTTACCTTCTAACTTTCTCTCTTCTTTATCTTTCTTGTCCCTCTCTGGTCAAATGAAAATAAATAAATAAATTTAATTAATTAGATAATTATTTTTTTTAAATAGAAGATGTTCTTCTCTCTATAGAGAGCTAAAAACAAAGAACTCAAAAAAGGGGGAATTTTTGTCTAAAATGATGTAAATGTGTTCAGGAAGTCTAGCTAACTTGTTGCAAGAGTCCTGGGGAATACTTATCTCAGTCAATGCTACCTGATTTAACAGTACACATGATAATCGGTACATAAAACCAGGGAATAAAAGATGTCTTTAACAATGTTTCTTCATAAAATTGAAAATCAAATTATTTAATTATAAATTTTCAATCTATCATTGTGCAATTAGACACAAAATATTTATCTGAGCAAAACATACCAGAAAAAGTTACATCTCTATTCTAAAGTCCACTTGCATATAACAGGGTTTAAAAACCAGATGCCTATTCATGCCTAGAACAATGATTTTAAAAATACCAAAAATAATGAGGCTAGCAGGTAACTGTGGTTCAAGTCCTGGATCTGGTAGCTTGAAACTCCTTCCAGGCATTTGTATGTCTGTACCTAAAATCCCAAGAGGAGAATGGAGAAGTGATTGTGGCATGGCCATCCCCCCTTTCTGGGGGGTGACTTCTCACACTTCTCTCACTCTTCTCTCTGGCAAGCGCACATGCTCTACAGCAAAAATCCCTCTTAGAACAAAAGAAAAAAATGATAAAGTAATAGTCTTGGGATAGTAGAACTAGGTCAAGCTACATTTTTTTTTCTTATTCCAGCATTCTACATCTCTCAAACATTCTTCAATAATCTTGGATTACTTCTTGTGTGAAAAATCAACTTTATTACCAAATCTTAAAAATAGAAGTTTTTATTCTAACTTGTAGTAATAGGAATCTAGTGCAGATCTTTTCTTTTTAAGATTATTTAGTATTTCTTCCACGAGAGAGAGAGAAAGTCACAGAGATAGACATCCCAGGAACTACCCCTAGCTTCAGTCAGCCCTCATCATAGGTATACAGGCATGTGCATGCCCAGCAAGCTCAGGGAGGTCCTGGGATGTGAACCCAGGATGTCTCCCATGTGGGCCCGACTGCACTCCTGCTTTGCCACCTTCTGGCCCCCAACTGATATCTTTTTTTTCCCCCAAAGTTTTGCCTTAGGGAGAGTGCACTCATCGGAAAAAGAGACAGAGACAATGAGAAGAAAAGTGAGAGATCAACTCATGAGGGGGGGACAGCCATCCCTTCTCCTCCATTCTCCTTTCAGGATTTTGGGCACGTATGCACATGCTCAGTGTGATTTTCAAGATGCCAGTGTCAGGGACTTGAACCATAGTCGACCATGTGGGAGTCCAACAGTGTAACCAC